AAGCAGGGAGGGGGTAGAAGTGCCCTGTAGGCATGGAGGGGGTAGAAGTGCCCTGTAGGCAGGGAGGGGGTAGAAGTGTCCGGTGGGCAGGGAGGGGGTAGAAGTGTCCGGTGGGCGGGAAGGGGGTAGAAGTGCCCGGTGGGCGGGAAGGGGGTAGAAGTGCCCGGTAGGCGGGAAGGGGGTAGAAGTGCCCTGTAGGCGGGAAGGGGGTAGAAGTGCCCTGTAGGCGGGAAGGGGGTAGAAGTGTCCGGTGGGCAGGGAGGGGGTAGAAGTGTCCTGTAGGCAGGAAGGGGGTAGAAGTGTCCGGTGGGGCAGGAAGGGGGTAGAAGTGTCCGGTGGGCAGGGAGGGGGTAGAAGTGTCCGGTGGGCAGGGAGGGGGTAGAAGTGCCCTGTGGGCAGGGAGGGGGTAGAAGTGTCCGGTGGGCAGGAAGGGGGTAGAAGTGCCCGGTGGGCAGGGAGGGGGTAGAAGTGCCCGGTAGGCAGGGAGGGGGTAGAAGTGCCCGGTAGGCAGGGAGGGGGTAGAAGTGCCCTGTAGGCAGGGAGGGGGGGTAGAAGGGCCCGGTAGGCAGGAAGGAAGGGGGTAGAAGTGCCCGGTAGGCAGGGAGGGGGTAGAAGTGTCCTGTAGGCAGGGAGGGGGTAGAAGTGTCCGGTAGGCAGGGAGGGGGTAGAAGTGCCCTGTAGGCAGGAAGGGGGTAGAAGTGCCCGGTGGGCAGGAAGGGGGTAGAAGTGCCCGGTGGGCAGGAAGGGGGTAGGAGTGCCCGGTAGGCAGGAAGGGGGTGGGGGTGGGCAGTGCCGGTGGGCAGGAAGGGGGTAGAAGCGCCCGGGGGGCAGGAAGGGGGTATAGGTGCCCTGTAGGCAGGGAGGGGGTAGAAGTGCCTGGTACGCAAGGAGGGGGTGGGAGTGCCCGGTAGGCAGGGAGGGGGTGGGAGTGTCAGGGAGGGGGTGGGAGTGCCCGGTAGGCAGGGAGGGGGTAGAAGTGCCCGGTAGGCAGGGAGGGGGTAGAAGTGCCCTGTAGGCATGGAGGGGGTAGAAGTGCCCTGTAGGCAGGGAGGGGGTAGAAGTGTCCGGTAGGCAGGGAGGGGGTAGAAGTGTCCGGTGGGCGGGAAGGGGGTAGAAGTGCCCCGTGGGCAGGGAGGGGGTAGAAGTGCCCGGTAGGCAGGGAGGGGGTAGAAGTGCCCTGTAGGCATGGAGGGGGTAGAAGTGCCCTGTAGGCAGGGAGGGGGTAGAAGTGCCCGGTGGGCAGGGAGGGGGTAGAAGTGTCCGGTGGGCGGGAAGGGGGTAGAAGTGTCCGGTGGGCAGGAAGGGGGTAGAAGTGTCCGGTGGGCAGGGAGGGGGTAGAAGTGTCCTGTAGGCAGGAAGGGGGTAGAAGTGTCCGGTGGGCAGGAAGGGGGTAGAAGTGTCCGGTGGGCAGGGAGGGGGTAGAAGTGTCCGGTGGGCAGGGAGGGGGTAGAAGTGCCCTGTGGGCAGGGAGGGGGTAGAAGTGTCCGGTGGGCAGGAAGGGGGGTAGAAGTGCCCGGTGGGCAGGGAGGGGGTAGAAGTGCCCGGTAGGCAGGGAGGGGGTAGAAGTGCCCTGTAGGCAGGGAGGGGGTAGAAGGGCCCGGTAGGCAGGAAGGAAGGGGGGTAGAAGTGCCCGGTAGGCAGGGAGGGGGTAGAAGTGTCCTGTAGGCAGGGAGGGGGTAGAAGTGTCCGGTAGGCAGGGAGGGGGTAGAAGTGCCCGGTAGGCAGGGAGGGGGTAGAAGTGCCCGGTAGGCAGGGAGGGGGTTAGAAGTGCCCTGTAGGCATGGAGGGGGTAGAAGTGCCCTGTAGGCAGGGAGGGGGTAGAAGTGTCCGGTAGGCAGGGAGGGGGTAGAAGTGTCCGGTGGGCGGGAAGGGGGTAGAAGTGCCCGGTGGGCAGGGAGGGGGTAGAAGTGCCCGGTAGGCAGGGAGGGGGTAGAAGTGCCCTGTAGGCATGGAGGGGGTAGAAGTGCCCTGTAGGCAGGGAGGGGGTAGAAGTGTCCGGTAGGCAGGGAGGGGGTAGAAGTGTCCGGTGGGCGGGAAGGGGGTAGAAGTGCCCGGTGGGCAGGAAGGGGGTAGAAGTGCCCGGTAGGCGGGAAGGGGGTAGAAGTGCCCTGTAGGCAGGGAGGGGGTAGAAGTGTCCGGTGGGCAGGGAGGGGGTAGAAGTGTCCGGTGGGCAGGGAGGGGGTAGAAGTGTCCTGTAGGCAGGAAGGGGGTAGAAGTGTCCGGTGGGCAGGAAGGGGGTAGAAGTGTCCGGTGGGCAGGGAGGGGGGGGGATAGAAGTGTCCGGTGGGCAGGGAGGGGGTAGAAGTGCCCTGTGGGCAGGGAGGGGGTAGAAGTGTCCGGTGGGCAGGAAGGGGGTAGAAGTGCCCGGTGGGCAGGGAGGGGGTAGAAGTGCCCGGTAGGCAGGGAGGGGGTAGAAGTGCCCGGTAGGCAGGGAGAGGGTAGAAGTGCCCTGTAGGCAGGGAGGGGGTAGAAGGGCCGGTAGGCAGGAAGGAAGGGGGTAGAAGTGCCCGGTAGGCAGGGAGGGGGTAGAAGTGTCCTGTAGGCAGGGAGGGGGTAGAAGTGTCCGGTAGGCAGGGAGGGGGTGGGAGTGCCGGTGGGCAGGAAGGGGGTAGAAGCGCCCGGGGGCAGGAAGGGGGTATAGGTGCCCTGTAGGCAGGGAGGGGGTAGAAGTGCCTGGTACGCAAGGAGGGGGTGGGAGTGCCCGGTAGGCAGGGAGGGGGTGGGAGTGTCAGGGAGGGGGTGGAGTGCCCGGTAGGCAGGGAGGGGGTGGGAGTGCCCAGGGGGGCAGGGAGGGGTATAGGTGCCCGGAAGGCGAGGGGTTAAAGTAATAATAAATACAATAATATAAGGAATCCTTCTTCCTGATTGGTGTTCGGCGGCTCATATTGTATCTGGAACTGTCCTCTGTGCTCATTGGTGTTCCCATACAGACAGCCAGGAGGGTTACCTGCAAGCCCCGCCCATGAGGTACAGATCTGGGACAATGCTCTGGGGGCTCCGATATTTAGGTCTGCGAGATGTACAGATTTCCAGCTGGGCACAATGGGTACTGCAGGAGCCTGCACAGGGATGAGGTCACCAGACTACATCCAATCACGTATTATTTCCCCGTCTTGCAGTACTGAAGTCACTAACATTTCTCATTCGCTGACATCGAATATATAATAATCTGTTCATTTAATTCCCATAAATAATAGAATCTGCGACTTTAATGAATATTCTGCCACAAGGGTCCTTGTTCAGGCATTTCCTGTTATGGGGTGACAACGCTCGGTCCCCCTCCCCCATTTCTGCTCCTTGTTGTCACTCTGTCACATTGGCTTCCAAAGTAGCCATTTCAACGCACGTTAAAGAGTAACTCTGATTTGTTGAGACGACGCCCCCGCCCCCTCTGGGCGATCGTTGTTCGTTGTCGCAGACTCCTCCCGCTTTATAATGACCAATCAGCTGCTGCCCCTGCAGGGCTCTAATGAGGAAAGCGGCGGGGTCTGCATCCCTTTAGATGTGATTCCCTTTGGGAGAATCTCACCCCAAATGACACTTTCTGTTTGCAGGCGATGCTCAAAATCTGACTGGTATGTTAGTGCAGAATTCTGGTAAAATCAGTAAGCCAATCACACAGCAGGAAATTACATATCGGGGAGGGGGGGGGGCTGTGTACCATCTGTGTGCAAAATGCCTCCAGGCGGCCATATTGAATTTGACAGAAAATGAGGGCAAGAAGGGAGACTTGTAATGACATCCAATCACAGTGAGCCTTGTGCAGCCATTGTACAGATGATATTATATTTTGTTTTTTCCCCTCGGAGGTGGAGTTGCCCTTTAAGCAGACACGGCTCACTGTTGTCAGGAAGCCGACCTTGAGAAATGCCGAGCGACCATCACTGGAGTCAGGGGGATGGAAGTGGCTGCAAAGAGGCCGCAGGAGATCAGCAGCATTGAGATGCAGCAAGACAAATAAAAAAAAACTAACAGCAATTTATTAAAACGGATGGGGGGGGGGCAATTATTTATAATATTCAGTTCGGGGTTTACATCTATTTTACCTGTGTCAGAAAAGTGGATTTGCCCTTTAAATGCCCTAAAATGACTCATTCCTATTTAGGATTTAAAAAAAATATTTTTATATTATATGGATCTCAAATATTAATAATAAGGATAATAATAATTATAATAATATAAAATAATAATAAAAAATAATTATTATTTTTAATATTGTTATAGTATTCATTATTATTATTATTTTTAATATTATAATTATCATTTTTAATGTTATAATTATCATTTTTAATATTGTTATAATTATTTTTAATATTGTTATAATTATTTTATTATCATTTTTAATATTATTATTTTTATTTTTAATATTATTATTATTATAATTTTTATTTTTATTTTTACTATTATTCTTATCATTTTTAATATTATAATAATGATTATTATTTTTAATATTGTAATTATTTTATTATTATTATCATTTTTAATATTATAATGATTATTTTTAATACTGTTATAATTATTATTATAATATTAAAAATGATAATAATAATAAAATATAACAATATTAAAAATAATAATCATTATTATAATATTAAAAATGATAATAATAATAGTAAAAATAATAAAAATTATAATAATTATAATATTAAAAATAATAATATTAAAAATGATAATAAAATAATTATAATAATAAAATAATAATTATAACAATATTAAAAATAATCATTTATAATATTAAAAATGATAATTATAACAATATTAAAAATAATAATAAAATAATAATAATAAAATGATAATAATACTAATTATAATAATAATAAAAATTATATAATGATGATAAACAAAAGACAAAAACAAAATCCAGATTCACCCGGGAGGACACAACAAAGTAAAACAAATAATATGTTTTAATCTTAATTTAGAAGAACGTTAATATAATATAGAAAATACAAAAAGTCTCTTCAGATTTTTTACCCTGCACCTTATTTTTGGATTATTACTTAAAAGTGAACCTTTTTACCACAGTTGATTTTTTCATGGTGGACAACCTCCCACATGTTGAGAAGATCCTGCGCGCTCAGCTTGTGGACCACCAACAAGCTCTTGTAGAAACAAGGGTCCTTATTCATGGCGCTCGATTTTTTCTTACTAATTCCAAATGTCCTGAACCCCGGATGTAACTTGGGCTCCACTCCCACCGACTTCAGGCACAGTCCCAGGAACACGTCGTCGATGGGGAACAACTGTATGCCCTCGGAGGCCACAAAGAGTCTCCTGGCTAGAGGAGAAGCCATCAGGAAGCCCCCGCCTCCGGCATACACCGGGTACGGTTTGTCGTAGAGCTCTTTGGGGATGAAGTATTTGCTTTGTTTGTTCCTAATGGGAACGGCTCGGGAAATAATATCTCCTACGAACAAGCTGGGCAACAAAGGGTCGTCCTTCTTGAAGGCCAAGAAATCCAAAACGTTTTTGGTGTTCACAAAAATATCGTCATCGCCTTTGAAAATAAATTCCACGTTGGGGCAGTAGATGTGGAACCACTTGAGGAAGTTCACTTCCTTGAGAGTCAAGTTGAAGAAGGTGTCCATGAAATCCCACTGAAGGATGTCTCCGTAAATTTGGTCCTCCTGCTCGATAAGTCTCTGGAGGTTCCAGTGGTCTTTCCCAGTAGATGTGGTCCCTAAGAGGAAAAGAGTCTTAATTTTCTTGCCGTCTACCTCCTTCTCCTTCCCCCAGGTCCTTCTCACGGCTTCCCGTCGGTCATGTTGCTCAATGATGGACTTGACCACTATGAGTAGATGGATGTCTCCTTGGCACTTTTCAGGGTGGTTGAGCAGCAACGGGAAGTATCTGCAATGCCTACGGAGGATGAACTGGTGGAATCTTGGGTCCACGTGCTTGAACCACGGTTGCCTCCTTAAAGCTGTATTTTCAGGGCATTTGCTTTCATTAATGTCCCACCTTGGTGGTGGCAAGTCCAAGGGTTCAGGAATTCTAGAACTAGCCACCCCATCTCTGTTCCTCTTAGAGGAGCCGTTGTCTGGCTGCAGCCACTCGTGCATGATTCTGGTGTGGAATGCCAGGCTGCCCTTGGCCCCTTCCTCCACCAGTTTCAGTTTATGAATGGTCACCAGGGTGGCAAACAGCAAAGACAAAGTGATGCAAGTTTTCAGGATTCTCCTTCTTTTGAACAAATACTCCATCCCGGAGCTGGCGAGGGGACAGACCTCGCTGGCTGGCAGGTCCCTCCTGTCCCGTTGTCTCCTACAGCTTCGGGATTGGTGGTAGAGGTCCGTGTAGCATGTCTGCAAAAACCAAGTCTCCAGAAAATGCATGAAAAAAAAAAAGAAGGAGGTAAGAGAGGTCTACATGTAGGAGAACCTCCTGCAGGACCACGTGGAGCGAGAAGATCCTCTAAGAGGCTTGGACATACTTGCTGCTCACTGCTCAAGAACTCTTCTGCGTCTTCTCCTCGTGCATGGCGACCTTCGCAAGGCGACTCTCCGGACGTCCTTCAGTCTTGTCCTGTTGGATGGAGCATCAGGAGGGATCATGCTGCACAGAAGAACCTTTTCTGTCAGGTCCGCCGGTTCCTCCACCGAGTCCACCTACATACCAAGATAGGTCCCTGTGCTCCAGGGCTGAGTGGCGGCGGGACTTGCCAGATGCGTCTGCTGCTGCTGCTGTGAGGTTTTGGTTTGTGCAGCCAGATGGGTCTACAGAGATCAAGTTACCGGGAGCCACACTTGGTTGGCTTAAGAGCTTAACCCCTTCAGGGCCCCGGGGGCTCAGCCTGGTACTCAGCCGGTTGTCTCGGTGCCGGAGTGTCATTAGGAACTGAGAGGAGAAATATCTGAGGTTTTGGTGATGCAGAGCGAAAGGCGTGTCCCTGTTCCAGTTCAGCTTCGTTTCCTCTCCAGCTGGGCGTCTATGTGTCAGAGTCTTGCCCAAACCTCTACATCTCCTCCACCAAATATTCTGCCACCCTCGTCATGTGGGCATCTCTTCCACCGGTGCAAATATTCTGCCACCCTCGTCATGCGGGCATCTCCCCCACCAAATATTCTGCCACCCTCGTCATGTGGGCATCTCCTCCACCGATGCATTCTGCCACCCTCGTCATGCGGACATCTCCTCCACCAAATATTCTGCCACCCTCGTCATGTGGGCATCTCCTCCACCGGTGCATTCTGCCACCCTCGTCATGCGGACATCTCCTCCACCAAATATTCTGCCACCCTCGTCATGTGGGCATCTCCTCCACCAGTGCAAATATTCTGCCACCCTCGTCATGCGGGCATCTCCTCCACCGGTGCAAATATTCTGCCATGGCCCTCGTCATGTGGGCATCTCCTCCACCGGTGCAGACATTCTGCCACCCTCATCATGTGGACATCTCCACCGGTGCAGACGTTCTGCCACCCTCGTCATGCGGGCATCTCCTCCACTGGTGCAAATATTCTGCCACCCTCGTCATGCGGGCATCTCCTCCACTGGTACAAATATTCTGCCACCCTCGTCATGTGGGCATCTCCTCCACTAATGCAAATATTCTGCCACCCTCGTCATGCGGGCATCTCCTCCACTGGTGCAAATATTCTGCCACCCTCGTCATGCGGGCATCTCCTCCACTGGTGCAAATATTCTGCCACCCTCGTCATGCGGGCATCTCCTCCACTGGTGCAAATATTCTGCCACCCTCGTCATGCGGGCATCTCCTCCACTGGTGCAAATATTCTGCCACCCTCGTCATGCGGGCATCTCCTCCACTGGTGCATTCAGCCACCCTCGTCATGCGGGCATCTCCTCCACTGGTGCATTCTGCCACCCTCGTCATGTGGGCATCTCCTCCACTGGTGCAAATATTCTGCCACCCTCGTCAGGCGGGCATCTCCTCCACTGGTGCATTCAGCCACCCTCGTCATGCGGGCATCTCCTCCACTGGTGCATTCTGCCACCCTCGTCATGTGGGCATCTCCTCCACTGGTGCAAATATTCTGCCACCCTCGTCATGTGGGCATCTCCTCCACTGATGCAAATATTCTGCCACCCTCGTCATGTGGGCATCTCCTCCACTGGTGCAAATATTCTGCCACCCTCGTCATGCGGGCATCTCCTCCCCAGGTGCAAATATTCTGCCACCCTCGTCATTTGGGCATCTCTTCCACCGGTGCAAATATTCTGCCACCCTTGTCATGTGGGCATCTCCTCCACAAGGTGCAAATATTCTGCCACCCTCGTCATGCGGGCATCTCCTCCCCAGGTGCAAATATTCTGCCACCCTCGTCATGTGGGCATCTCTTCCACCGGTGCAAATATTCTGCCACCCTCGTCATGCGGGCATCTCCTCCACGAGGTGCAAATATTCTGCCACCCTCGTCATGCGGGCATCTCCTCCACCGATGCATTCTGCCACCCTCGTCATGCGGGCATCTCCTCCACCGTGCATTCTGCCACCCTCGTCATGTGGGCATCTCCTCCACTGGTGCATTCTGCCACCCTCGTCATGCGGGCATCTCCTCCACCGGTGCAGACATTCTGCCACCCTCGTCATGTGGACATCTCCTCCACCGGTGCATTCTGCCACCCTCGTCATGCGGGCATCTCCTCCACCGGTGCATTCTGCCACCCTCGACATGCGGGCATCTCCTCCACCAGTGCAAATATTCTGCCACCCTCGTCATGTGGGAAGTCGTTAAGGTCCTCTCAGAAGCCCGCCTCACTACCTGCCCCCTGGACCCTATCCCCTCTCAACTCCTCCAGTCACCCCCCTCTTCCCTCATCCGCTCCCTCACCCACATCTTCAATCTCTCCCTCTCTACTGGCGCATTCCCCTCCCCCCTAAAGCACGCACATATCACCCCCATTCTCAAAAAGCCCTCCCTGGATCCCGTGGACCCCACCAACCTCAGACCCATCTCCCTGCTGCCACTCACCTCCAAGCTCCTTGAGCGCATAGTCTACGATCGCCTAAACGCCCACCTTATTGACAATAACCTCCTTGACCCATTACAGTCCGGCTTCCGTCCCCTACACTCCACCGAAACCGCCCTCCTCAAATCACTAACGACCTGCTAACCGCCAAAGCCAAGGGCGACTACTCTGTCCTCCTCCTCCTGGACCTCTCTGCGGCCTTCCACACAGTCCACCACCCCCTCCTCCTTAATAAACTACTCTCCCTTGGCATCAGAGATACCGCTCTCTCCTGGTTCTCATCCTACCTGTCCCAACGCTCCTTCAGCGTCACCTACAATGGTACCACCTCCCCTTCCCTCCCCCTCTCTGTTGGGGTCCCCCAGGGCTCTGTCCTTGGACCCCTTCTCTTCTCCATCTACACCTCCTCCCTGGGCAAACTCATAAACTCCCACGGCTTCAATTATCACCTCTATGCTGATGACACCCAAATTTACCTCTCCACCCCTCACTCACCCCCACATTCTCCGCCCGCATCACTCACCTCCTAAACGACATCTCAGACTGGATGTCGCTCCATTTCCTCAAGCTTAACCTCTCCAAAAACCGAACTCCTCGTCTTCCCTCCTGCCCGCGCCCCCCCCCCCCTAGCCTATCCATCACCACCAACAACACCACCATCAATCCCGCCCCGCAAGCCAAAGTCCTTGGCGTCATTCTTGACTCGAACCTTTCCTTCCTCCCTCATGTCCAATCACTTACAAACACATGCAGGCTCCACCTCCGCAATATCGCCAAGATACGTACGTTCCTTACCCCAGACACCACCAAACTACTTGTACACTCACTCCCTCATCATCTCACGTCTGGACTACTGCAACTCCCTCCTCACCGGCCTACCCCAGTGCAGGCTCTCCCCGCTCCAGACCATCCTCAACTCAGCTGCCAGACTCATCCACCTCACCACCCGCTCCACCTCTGCCACCCCCCTCTGCCTCTCCCTCCACTGGCTCCACCCCCTCTGCCTCTCCCTCCACTGGCTCCACCCCCCTCTGCCTCTCCCTCCACTGGCTCCACCCCCCTCTGCCTCTCCCTCCACTGGCTCCACCCCCTCTGCCTCTCCCTCCACTGGCTCCACCCCCTCTGCCTCTCCCTCCACTGGCTCCCGATTGTCCAATGCATCAAATTTAAACTTCTAATCCTGACCTACAAAGCCGTTCACAACACTGCCCCTGACTACCTCACCAACCTGATCCCCAAGTACCACCCTACCCGTACCCTTCGCTCCTCACAGGACCTCCTTCTATCCTGCTCCCTGGTCTCCTCCTCCCATGCACGACTGCAGGACTTCTCCAGGTCCTTCCCCATCCTCTGGAACTCACTGCCCCAATCCATCCGACTGTCACCTTCCCTCCTCACATTCAGCGCTCCCTCAAAACCCATCTTTTCAGGGAAGCCTACCCCACCCTCACCTAACAGCCATCCTCCCTCATTCCTCCCACCACTTCATCCCCCTCAGCCACTTCATCCCCCTCAGCCACTTCATCCCCCTCAGCCACTCCATCCCCCTCAGCCACTTCCTATTGTTCCACTACCCCCTCCCTCCTAGACTGTAAGCTCGAAAGAGTAGGGCCCTCTTCCCCCTCGTACGCTGTCTGTCTTTGTTGTACTGGGCCATGTATTGTCCCCCCTATTGTACAGCGCTGAGCAAACCCTTTGGCGCTATATAAACTCCATGTAATAATAATAATAATGTGGGACAGATATGTATGCGTGAAGTCGCAGTGATGTCCTCCGAGTCGCACCTGAAGTCGCAGTGATGTCCTCCGAATCGCACCTGAAGTTGCACTGATGTCCTCCGAGTTGCACCTGAAGTCGCAGTGATGTCCTCCGAGTCGCACCTGAAGTTGCACTGATGTCCTCCGAGTCGCACCTGAAGTCGCAGTGATGTCCTCCGAGTCGCACCTGAAGTCGCAGTGATGTCCTCCGAATCGCACCTGAAGTCGCACTGATGTCCTCCGAGTTGCACCTGAAGTCGCAGTGATGTCCTCCGAGTCGCACCTGAAGTTGCACTGATGTCCTCCGAGTCGCACCTGAAGTCGCAGTGATGTCCTCCGAGTCGCACCTGAAGTCGCAGTGATGTCCTCCGAGTCGCACCTGAAGTCGCAGTGATGTCCTCCGAGTCGCACCTGAAGTCGCAGTGATGTCCTCCGAGTCGCACCTGAAGTCGCAGTGATGTCCTCCGAATCGCACCTGAAGTCGCACTGATGTCCTCCGAGTTGCACCTGAA